TCGGAAAGGTGATAGCTGCCCCTATCCCATGATGTTGTTGGTTTGCGTGGGCGTACTTTGGTTCACGTGTAAAGGGCCTTAGAAAGTTTGTTTACAAATGCTTTTGTGCCGTTATCAAATGTTATGCCTGAGTTCTTCTATTCTCCACGAGTGCCAAATTTGATAAGCCAATAGAGATTAGTGACGTTTAACGCACGCACACTTGCGGGTGTGTAAAATTGTTTATTATTTTCCTCTACCTAACCTAAAAAATGTATGAAATTAGATCTGTCAAAATGAGTTTGACAGCGATTCGTTATGTATTTTCTTCGGATTTTCACTAACACGCTCTCACAAATAGCATGAAAATCTCAATTGGCAAATCAAAGTTGGCACTCGTGGAGAATAGAAGAACTATGAGAGTGATGATGGTTTCAAAATTTTACACGGTGAGGTATACGAGTGCAATCTTGAAATGCTTTTATTTTGCAAATGGAGCATTTTATTTAAATCTGGTTAATGCTACGCTAGTAGAAAACTTGAGGACTACGTAATAGACATATAATATAGAAAAAATAATTTCTTTTCAGATTTTTATGTGTAGACATAGATTTCAGCTTTTCTACAACTGTAGCAGCAACCAGATTTAAATAAAATGCTCCATTTGCAAAATAAAAGCATTTTAAGATTGCACTCGTATACCTCTCCGTGGAAAATTTTGAAACCATCATCACTTTCATAGTTCTTCTATTCTCCACGAGTGCCAACTTTGATTTGCCAATTATGTCAACATTTAAGTTCATGCAGGTAGTTGGTCTGTTTTTTAAGGTTGCCTTAATTTTCAGCTAAGTTGACTGTAGAAGAAATAATTTTTATCAGTACTGATAAGCAGACCCATGCCAGGAATAAACAATTATGTGTTTGAGCGCAGAATTAACCAAAAAGAACGAGTTTCGAAGCCTTTTTGGTGATGTCTCTCACCTTATTTACCATGTTGAGACCGAAACAGTGTAAGCTACTTGATAGTACAGAAACTCATAATGTATGTGTTCATCCATGAACATTTAAAATTGATGGTCAAAAGTTTAACAAACGTGTCTCAGGATGAAATTGGTTTACGTTTGATGAAGCACCAAATTTAGACCCCATCCCCCTTGGAGCGTACTTTTCTAGATAGTTGGTCACTCTAAAATGCTACGTCATTTATGCATCTTTCCTTTGCAGCATTTCTGTCAGGACGACAAAATGTTTTTTTTTTTTGTGCTTGAAAGGAATGTGCCATCAAAGAAGAAGCGAAATATGAACTTGCAACATTATTAGAGGAAAATGGGATAGAAGATGTTGTTTTTCAACAGTGTAAGACCACCCAACTAACATTTTTAGCTTTATAAGCCTAATTGTCCAGCGTTGTGCTTTAAGTAGCTGAAAAAAAAGCAGCTGATACAGCTTCAAGCAGAAGCTTGCAAAATAGTTTTGGAGAGCGTTTACTCAGCTGTTTCCATTCTTGCTGAATATCAAAAATATCAAAAGTGCTTTTTCAACAAATAAACAACCTGTACTCAGCTAATAAACTGCAAACTTAGAAATAACTAATTCTACACGTGGCGGGATCCATCTTTCACAGTAAACAAATATGTCATGTAATATTAAGCGTTCCCAGACTGAAAAGTTCATTGTTCGACGAAAAGTACGTTTGATTGAGCTGAATTTTGCGTCTGTTATGTCAAAATTGATGCTCGTGTATGTCAGTCTCAGTTACCCCTACTTTGGAAGCATTTTTACAGTCAACTAGGTTTACTTCTAGACGTGCGCAGTTTTACAACTTTAACTCTGCTCCTTTATAAAGCTGCTTAGAATTCTAAAGACCACCACCAACCAAGCTGCTTAAGCCACAAATAGCCTTTTATCAGAACTTTTGGTTACTTGGGAATAGCCGTTCAATTGGTCATATCATGCCTAATAGGTTTCATTCAACCTTTTTGTAATTTAATTTAAATCGTTGTTTGATATTTTTCCAATAAAATTCAGACAATTTCCTATATTTCGTTCATTGGCCAAATCAGGATTATCCCTGAGGATTCCTAGCCAGTACGTAATTTTCTGAACAGACACTAGACACGCACTTTCGCGGTTCCAACCCTCCCTGGCGCTTACACGGTAAGAATCATTTACACATTAATGAGTAAAATTTACCACATTTTTGTATGTATCTGTCACACAATTATTGAAGCGCCCATACTCCGTTGCGCATCCATGTTTCACTCCCGTGTTGAAGTGCCCAACGTAGAGCAACAACTCGCGTGGTCTTTCTTTTTCCGTAAAATGAAAGACAGTGCAATTCCATTTCTACTGTATGGAAAAAGCTCTTTGATGAATCAGTTATCCTGAGGTTGGAACTGTGCTCGTCCGCACCTAGCAAACCTCGGATAATAAACTCATCAGAACAACTGCCCCGATTCTTTATTCTTCGAAACTTTTATACATGAATTTGTTACTTAAACTCTACACAATAGTTTTTCTCCAGTATGTACATATAAAGCGAGACAGATAGTTTTTCTCTTGGAAAGTTGGTGTCTGTTTTTTTAACAAGAATTAATGCTCCTCGCGGTAGGAACGGCTATGTAGGATGCTTACTCACCAATGTTTACTGTGACCTTTCGCGAAGCACCTAGTTAAGCCAGCGCGCATCGCTGACGACGCGGTAGCAACTGTTTATAAACAACTGACCCTGGAAGTGTGCGACATTGTCACTGCTGCTGTTAAGTTGTGTATTTGCTCCTACCGTATGGGGGTCTATTATTGGTTAATTTCTTACTCAGATTGATATTGGAATTTGAGGCCTTTGCAATTATATTAAAAAAATGTTAGAGGCATCGAATGCTCTCAATTCCACAAATTGTGGAAATACATCGAGAACACTAAGTTGAGAGCACGCAATAAGCAAATATGCGATTAGCAATAAGCTTTAAATGTGAATAATAAGAAGAATAAAAAGAATAAGAAGAAAAAGAAAAGGTGGTATTGTATTTTTGAATGAACGTTAAGATTATTTCCTATCATTCAGCAGTTGATATTTTTTTTAGGATTTGTTTTTAAATATACCTATTTATTTAATCCCTCCCCTTGGCTAGTTTTTTAACCTGGACGTTGGTGGGCGGGCCTAATCTTATGCTTCATAGTGGAGCGTTGGAGACGGTTGGTTTAGGTTCGGCATCGTTGGCTCATGCCGTGACAGAATAGCGTCATGAGCATGCGATGAGGATTACTGAGTTTCCCCTCTCTGATGAACCATTGCATGAGAGAACCAAAATTCTAGCCTGAAGTGATAGTATCACACTTGTTACTCCTTTATTTGAAAGCCACGTTGTAGTACGCTTACGTATAGGCACTGACGTTGGGTGCGATACTGGCGGGTTTTGCCGCAAATCACTCTTATTTTATTTATTTTTACGCAGATAGATTTATTTGGGTTTGCAAGGGAATTATACTATTGAAATATTTCAAAAAGTGCTCAAAAGTGCTCCTTCTACTTGCGTGACAAGCTTTCGTTGTTGTTTTCATTGAGGTATTACTCAGGGAACAATGTTAAACATTTTTGTACATGGTTTTGCAACTAATCTTATATGTGCTTCATTTTGATTTGGGATAAGTGTTTGAACTATGGCTCGGAATTTCCACTGTGGCGCGCTTCTATTGTGACATAACCATACGTATTCTTGTGGTGCGACATAGTGGAAACGTGTGAGCGTAGTTGAAGCATATGCCCTATGTAATTTAAAAATCAGCTAGGAAACTAACTTCAAAGTGAAGCATTTTAGTCACTTGAAGGTGTCACCTGCCACTAATATATATTAAATATAGGTCAAAGTCAAAAACAACTTGAAACACGTTAAATTTTAGATTACATTCACAAGTGCAGGTACTTAATAAAGCATGGTAGGTAGATTAGAGATTTCAATTATTTATTAAATTAGACTAGAGATATCATAATCATCAAACGAACTTAAATAAGAAAATTTAGATAGCCTAGTAGCATTAAGTGGACTAACAGAAGAGTTAGGATGCGGAGGGTCCGCTTAGGGAGGCAACTAGCCTTTAAAGCAACTGGTAACTAGCCTTTTCATGTATTGTCCGTTTATTTTGATTATTGCTTTAAAATATCAATTTGGTATATATGTATGTGAAAGGATGGGAGATGGATTTTCGGTTTCTTTACATTTGGCATCACTATGTGTCATTTCCTCAAAACCCCCCAATAACCGGCCTCTTCAATCCCTTCCTTTTCCCAAGGCGTTCAAGCGGTCCGCATAGACTATTCAGCCATTACCCGTCCTTTATCCTCGGCTTTGGATTGACTTGCGCTCCCATTGCCCCACCAAACGCTGCAAAATGAAAATGAAAATGAAAATGAAATATACCTATTCATTTAATCTTAAAAAAGGAATTTCTTGTAAAACAATTGCATAGTTGCTTAAGAAGTCCGTGGTATCAGCAGTTTGAACGTAGTATTATTTAAAACATTTGTTTTTTTTTATCAAATAGAAACTTTCATAATAAATTTCTCCCACTGTGCAATCGCTTAGTCACCCGACGAGCTCGCTTACGTCGCACCGCAGCCGCAGCCCTTCAAAACTTGTATCTATATCACATGGGCACTCGTGCTCTTCTAGATGCCATGCTTTCCGCTCTCGACTCATCTGTTCAACTGTTGTCGTTGTCGATGCTGGAGTAGAGATACCAACATTTCCGCGACAGATGCAAGGCCAGCCACAGCAGCATGGATTGAGCAACGTCAAACCCTCAGCATCCTCCCCCTCCCACTTTGCTGACTTTTCCTTCCCACATCCGACCGTCATCGCTCAGAGATCCGTGTATTGTGGCCTGACTTTGCTGCTCTCTGTGTGTGGTGTATGTTGTCGTCGTCGTCGTCGTTGAACAGAAGCAAAAATACGATATGGTGGAATTATAATGCCATTTGGTATATAACGGAGAACAGCAGAGAGTCGGTGATGCTGCTACTGGGCACACTACACCCGCCATCGAGAAATGCTATGCGTCAGAACGGGACGGAAGCTGGCCGAGATGAGACAGAATCACCACCACCACACAGCTGCCGACAGAGAGGAGGAGTTAGCTGCTGCTGTTGCGGCTTATGGCAAAAGTAAAAAATGTGGAATTTCGACATCAAGTAGGACGAATCATAAATTCTCTGCTGCATGCATTTTCCCGCGCGCTCTGATCTCCGGGAGATGATGATGGTGTGTGATATACAGGAGGCAACCGTAACGTACGTACGTATGCCGAAGATCCGCGAGGGTTCCGTGAGCCTTGCATGACGACATGGTTGTTGTTATCAAATTAACGGAGTGATTTTTAGTCGCTGAACGGATCGGAAAGTGCGCGTACGGAATTCTTCTGCAGCTCGAATCATTGCAAGGCAAGTCCTTTGGTCAGTTGCTTTCGGTCAGCATTGCAAAAAGCAAAAAAAAAGAAGAGCTGAAGTCGTCCTAGTCCTGGTGCTACGTAGAAAGCCATCGCGGAAAAGCTCGTGGATGCAGAAAAAGTGCAATCATTTAGCGTGTGCGGTGGAAAAAAATCGCATCTGCAACGTTTGACAAGGACTGTAGCCGCAGCATCTGTGACGACGGCACCGTTGTTGACGCTACGACAAGTGGAAGTTAATTGGATTTTTTCGGTGCATCGTCGTGTTTCGAGTGCATCCCGTCGTGCGGTGGATGCACTTTCGTGAAGCTTTTTTACCTTGCCCCCGCGTTGGTGGTGTCCGTCGATTGTGAGTTATGTGTGATGCTCTGACAGTAGTTGAGCCATCTTCCATTAATGCGTGCAATTGAAAAGGATTAACGTGTGACGTGTGTGCCTTTCGGATCTAACGGGAAGGAAAAAAGGCTGCAACTAGTGCTCGGTCGGTAGAGGTGCACAGTCAGAGATCAAATGAGATAATTTTATTCGGTGTTTGGAAACTGGAGAGAGCGGAAAAAAAGTGCTGTGCATTGGAGTGCATCTACAGCTAGTGGATGTTTTCGTTTCGTAATATGGAGGGATCGACGATTTTGCAGGACTCTAAAACAGGTTGGTTGGGTTTGATGAGCGCACTAATTGCGTTTGATAATTTGATGTTCACCGTTTAGTATGTCAGAAGGATTTAAAATCATATTATTACGTATATTCATTCTAATTCTAATTCTATTCTCAGATAATATCGAGTTAGAGAATATCGAAATTACATAAGGTTACTACAGTTATGAATTGAATATTGTCCATCAGATATAGGGATGTATTACACGCAAAGCAAATGGCATGAACTTCCAATGCAAGGGTGTATTTCTGATATGCACTGCATGTTTTCTTACAACAAATATAATATCAGTTCTTACAATGGACTGCAGCGTTCAATCAAGTTTATCCGCAGTGCATTTAGAAAAACAACTTTGTTAGATAATTTAGTTAATATAAAAAAAAAAAAACAGAATCTGTTCATGTGGTGAATCATACCAAAGTTTGAATTCTTTTTATGCAAATCTGTAATAGAATCTTACATTTACCTTCATCGCGGTTTGTGAATTTTTATCACGGTTAAAATTTTAAACGAAATACATAATTTTTTTGAACATTTATGATGATTGAGAATTGATGTTATTTCAACCCAAGTAACATTGCAAGTGTTATCACGGTTTTACAGCATTCTACAAATTCAAATCATGATCTACAGAACATTGATAAAACCCAAACTGTTATTTGGGAAGTACCTCTAATATTAGGACCTAAAAAAAAGAACAAAAATTTTATTTTAAATTTTTTAATAGTAAGGTCTGTTCACTTTATAAATCGGCAACACACTTTAGGTCATACATTTTTTGCTTGACAACTTATCTGGGTGCTTGCTTTGGTAAATATGAAGCTCTTTTTGTAAGCAACATATATGAATAGTACATTTATCAATATTTGATATTACGTTTGCTCTAAAATGCCATTAACAACATTTTTCGTACTCATGTCGATACAGCTGGAACAACTGGGTGAATTTTCAATTTGCGTCAAGCCAAATAATTTTTATTTTTTTTTTAATGATGCAACACACCAACTTAAAAAATATATCAATTTTGTAGAACAAAGTATACATACGATTTTTATCATTTCTTATGATATTTTAGTCCTATGTTTAGAACTTACTTAGAATACTAACAATTAGGTTTAAAGTATTATGATTCTTCCTTATCTTGTAACGCTAAGCTATTCTCTAGCAGTTTTCATTCAATTTGGATTGAATATGTAAATTAGTAATACGTAAGACAATGTGTGACTGGTGACTGGTCGTTATCTCTATACGCAGACTTCAACAAGGTATTTGATCGCATTGACATACCCTTGCTACTCTCACATAACATATATGGAACTCGATCATCAAAAATCGACCCCATTTCAGTGATTTCAATTCAGTGATCGATCTGTCAAACTGATTATACCAGCTGTAAAATGAGAAATGAGATCAAGGGGGTAGTCAATTCTATTAAAATAATCCTAACGAGGTTTTTGATTCTATGTCTCCTTAGCACTCTTGAACTCATGTTTTTGTATTGCCTTCACACAGCATAACATAAATTAACGTTTGCATAATTAAAGTTTACATTTTTGCCGATTTTTTAAGCGATGACCTGCCACATAAAAATGTAATTTTAAGCTGCCATATGTTGCTTATTTGTAATTATGACCAGAACTGGCGAACTCCAAGCGAATACTTGTTTATTTTTTAAATTTGCGTGGGTATTCTTTTTTCAATTTTATTTCTTTATAATAAACTTAGATAACAAAATTTTCCATATTTTTTTCATTAAATGGCTGTGGTGGAATTCTTCTTCTTGAAATTAATGCGTAAAACAGACATAAATCTCTAGATATTGTGTTTTGAGCTGCCCTTGCATCTTTCCATTCGCAAGAATTTTGCAAGAAGGACAAATGAAATCGAACTCTTATTGATACCTGTAACACCCAAGGTTTCAAACATCTCAATTTTCCTCAATTGCGTACAATTAAATTCTGCGGCTACAGTCCTTGTCAAACGTTGCAGATGCGATTGAATTTCTGCTCAAATCCCAACACAAAGATCTACCGACTAGTTATCTACAAAATGACTGGTTTACAACGTGCTTGATTGACTTCTGCCCGACTTGAAAACACACGTTAATAAATCCTTTGATAAGCCCCCTGTGCCCTAAAGCTCGTCTAAACAAGAATGGCCGCATTACCTTGACAAGTCGCCTTTTCGGTCACTCTGTAGAGGCCCAAGCGCAATGACAGCGGAAGCGGAAAAGCTCGATCTGAGTAAGCCTACTTGTCGAATTGAAAACTAGTTAGAACCAAATCGACTTCGGTTAGGCATCTTGATGTCATTTGTGGCCACTGTCAAACTTTCCGTTTCCGTTCCGCTTCCGCCCACATTGCGTTTGGGCCTTAACTCTTTACTCCTAGGGAAAAATGCGAACGTCAGTCTGTGCGTGAAACATGCTAGACATTTCCTTAACCTTTCACTCCAGTGAAAAATCGCATCTTAATCTTCGCATGAAGAAATAGCAGCTCGCTGGTACCAGGGTGGAGTGAAGAAAAAAGACAAAATCCGCTAGATTTCAAGCACATAATGACAGATTGGATTTTTTCATAAAAGTAAAGAGTTACAGAGCCTCAACGTCAAAACTTACGCGTTATTTCAAAACTACTAAAATTTGGGTAGAATCCTCCCAGATCCGTCACAACTTAACCTACTTAAAAATGGGTACACTATCTTGGGAGTGACAAGTTGACAAATGGCCAACATTGGCATGGATCCGACCGACGATGTTCAATTGTTAACCTGTCACTCCCACCATAGTTTACCAATTTTTTGATAGGTTCAGTTTTGACCGATCAGGGTGGATTTTACTCAAATTTGGGCAGTTTTCAAATAGCGTGTACTGAGTATGCAACCAAATATCTGCTTTTCTTTCACAAGGATCAATGTCACAAACGTAAACACTGAATTTTCCAAGAAGTTCTTGAGAAGGAAAATTCGCTCAAGTAAGCAACCACGACGGTTGTGTACAGGGAAAGTCCCCATAGCTGATAGAATTGCTGGGTTACATGGATTGGCTTTGAATTACAAGATGTTTATGAAAGAAGCCATTGCTTACGTTTACGACATTGGTACGACATTGGTACATGAACGCTCAGTGTCGAATCACGAAAATTTAATTTTGACAGATCGATGTCCGATGAGGCAACACAAAAAAGGGGTCATCTTTTAGTCATCAGTTTTTCATGAAGTTCCACACATGTTATGTGCTACTCTTCAATTTAAAAAAGGGAATTAAGCCAGGACTTCTCAAATGGCTAGAATCATATCTAACTAATCGCCAACAAGTAGTTGGATACAAAGGGAAGACATCGAATCCCATTCAAGTCACAACAAGAGTCCCACAACCCTAATAAATTTGTTATGGTTATTTTGCTTAACGACGACGTGTTCGGGGAATCATCTAAACAATTTGTGGAATAGTTCGATCACTTGGGCAATCATTCGTTTATGGTATTTTTATTATTAGGGAAGGCTCTCATCTAGGCCCCCTTTTGTGTATACTATTTGTAAATGACATATCCTTCATTCTTAAAACCATAAAAGCTTTAATGTATGCTGATGACACAAAGCGCTTTCTAGAAATAAGTAACATGGAATACATCAGGACATTCCAGAATGAAATTGATATGTTCTATATTTGGTGCAACTTAAGCCTTTTGTTGAAAGTCGGGAATTTAATTCATAGTTATTATGGCTCTAATGTTAGCCTATGGATTTAAGATTGGGCTCATCGCTAAAAACCTGCTATTTATCAATTTTATCTAGATAAACGCGTCATTGGGACGCAACTTATGGATATTTTTGGCCGCTATTGAAAATTGAGTCGATTGCTGAATTTATGTATGGGTCCAAATTAGGGGCGTTTAGGCTGACATTACATCCATTTTCCCTAGTAGAAAAAGATGCGCACCATATAAAGGAAATGGCTCTAATTTTATTTTATTTATTTATTTATTTTTTCATCAACAGGCTTCTTTACCCCAAAGATGGATAAGTTGTTGCCAATTAACTAAATTAATATACATTAAAACTACACATATGTTTAAAATTATCTAAAAACATTAAGAAATCTAGCACGTAGCAAGTCACGCGAAACGTTAAAATCAAATTGACTGGCAACCCGGTTGAAAACTCTCTGTATCCCAGTAATAGCACTGTTCATTCCGTAATTGGTGCGGTGAGATTGAGGTCGTAGCATCGCATTGAGATCTTGGTCGTACATACAAGTTGATTCGTTGTAGGATTTCAGGACAATCAACTCGACCCAGCAAGACATCAGAAACCATTTTTCAATGAGATAAGTGGTACAACCACAACAAACATTTATATTTACAAAAATTTTGCAGAAATTCATTTTTTTTTTCAAAATTGAATAAAAAATAAACAAACTATTTATTAACAACATTTTTTTTTTCTTTATTTAAGAGATTTTAAGCCATAGGCTAGTTCATTTCTTAATTTATTAACAACAATACCACTAACCTCACTGACAATTAATGTTCAATTGATTGCAAGAAAATTTTCTTACCCTTTAATTTAGCGTTAAAATAATTGATATAGTCTTATTACAACCGGAGATATTTGTACTTAAGCAAACAAAATTTTTTAAAGAAAATTTTCATTTCTTAGCTGTATCTCGAAAACTATCCTACTGAGATTTTTTTGACTACATTTTTGTATTCAGCACACGATTTTACTTAAGAACCATTAGTCAAAGATTCAAGTTCATTTTTATTAATTTTATTTGTAAACTAGTGTAATATATAAATCACAGTTGAACATTCTAAGCCCTTGATACTTTCCACGGATGTCCCTTGGAATTTTCATAAGAATTCAATTAAAATTATCTTTCTAATTCCCTCACAATTCAATGCTCTTGGAATTTCATTGAAGTTCTCGTAAGAACTTTCTTTACATTCTTCTCGGAATTTATTTAGAATATTCATTAGAAATTAACCTGTAA